TTTCCTTTTTTTTTTTTTTTTTTAATTTTTTTTATTAATGTTAAACTGCACATTTCTTAGTTAATCATTTTCAATGTTTCTAATCAGTTTATCTCCAGCTGTAAACAGCATCTGAACCTTAAAAAGAAAAAAGATTTTTCTCAACCTGGAAAATCTATGCCCAGAGGCCAAGTTTAGTATGGAAGGAAAATACCTTTCCTGAGGTGCCCTGTTAAACCTGTAAGAGCTGTCATGAGTTGCAGGACTGCTTACTCCTTAAACCATTCTAGAAAATGGACCCTTGGGCTACTGCCGGCTTTAACTCACAACAAAAGAGCCTCAGGTGGAAAGATAGAAGCATGAAAAGAATAACAAAAGCTTAAAAATAGGCAAGATTGCGGCCAATTAATGACAGGGAGATGGTATTGGTATTTAAATAAACAGAAAAAGAACTTCCCACACGTTGGAAAAAAGTGTGCACCCAGCATCAGATCAACACAGCAGCAGTCCATGCCAAGTGTTAGGCCATGGACTCAGTGCTTTAACAGCTGCATCAGTATGAGGCATCACCACGACTATCCCAGATGTTACAGTTCAAATTATCATTCATAGTTTGGAGAACGTTTCCCCACCTTCCTGCCACTGCAGGTGAAGAACAGCAGCACAAGGAAGTCTTCCACTTCCTTTACTGCAAGCATGGTTAACATCTGCCAGGTCCCACTCAGGTAGTGTCTGAAAATTACACCAGGAAACATCCCCACTGCCGTGCAGCCTTGGCCCATCTTCCTGGCTCAGGTGCTTTCTGCCTTTTCCCCTGTCATTAAGCAGTGAAGGATCAGGAGCCTACAAATAGCAGAAACTTCGTCTACTAAACATTTTATATCTGCCACTAAGCTTCAGCAGAAAGAATATCTCGTTTTGCTTAGACCTGTGATTAAAATAATAAAAGATTCTCTTTTCCATTTTAGGAATGAAGTACATAATGGTCATTTAATCTTCTCTTGTGATACTACAGAATTAAACACAAGTATTAGGCAAAATACCTGCATTTTTGTTTTTCTTATAATTGTGTGATTGAGATACAATATCATGTGCAAAGCTTCAAACAAAACCTAAGAGATAAAAGCTTTACAGTTATAAGATGGTGTAATATCATTGTGCAGAGGCCCTATAATTAAATTATTCATTTAATGAGATTAGTTGCAAAGCTACATATAATGGTTTGAAGGCGGAAATAAAAGGTGTTATGAATAAAGGTAAATTACACTGCATTTTCCTTTACATCAGCTGCAGATACCTGCAATTGTTCTCCAAGCCTTTACTTTCCATTAACTCAAACTGTTATCATGAGGCTGTTATTTAAAGTTAGATGGTATTGGCTGTTAATGTACCCAAGAGTTTGTTGAAATGGAGGTGAAATGATTCACAGAAACCTGGAGAACAAAGTGCAACATCAACGACTTAATTAGAGCTAGTGGCAGCTCTAATTCTAACAGCAACAGAAATGGAATTTGCAGCTGCGCTGTTACTAGAATGCATGGTGTGAGACAGGCAACAAGGGAACAAACCTAGAAAACCTACTTTCCACCAGTCATTCCAGTGCAGAAGATTGCAGACGCCACCCTGCACACCAGCTGAGTTCCTCACCATTTCCAAGTGGAGCACCAAGAACCGTGGCAGAAACAAGAAACGGGAATACCCCAGTGGGTAAGCCTGAGCTAAGATGCCATGAGACAAATGCCCCATGACTCTCATATAAAGCATGACAAAGTCTGCATTTTCACCTCTGTGTATCATTCTAGCTCCTTCAYAGCCTCTCCCATGGGACCAGGGTTTCACAGGGCAACTCCAAGCTTTTCTCAAGCTTCAAGAATTTTCACGGACTCCTCATGAACATTATAGAAGAAAAATGTTTAGCAGAACAGATTTCAGGATGCCAAATACTGGTAAAGTGAATGCCATATAATCTGCATTTTCAAATCTCAAAGTACTTTGAAAAAAGACAAGCAAAATGGCATGATATGCCTGTGTTTTTTTCAATGAAAATCGCATCTGACACATTTTCAACACTGGTGATAGTCAGGTGGCCACTTTTTTTTTTTTTTTTTTTTAAACAGGCAATACCACTATAAATCATTTCCTGACACCAATCTGGCAATAATTCTACACGATAAAATAAGTGATATAAATGTAAACAATCAATCCACAAAATGATGTATAAGTATTCTCAATGGTCACAACAATGCTGCAAAGTACAGATCAGCCTTCTGACAATCAAGCTAGATTCATTGAAGAACAGTGTACTTTTCTCCCCTAAATAAGTTTGGTAAARCAGAAAGGTAGTCAAGAAATATAGTTTAAAAATAGGCCTTCATTAYTTATATAATACAAGCATTCCCAAGAAAGTGTTTGACCTATGCCAAGGCAGAGTTAATTACTTCTTTTCTATTTGATCTGTAGCCATACTTTTTGCTGTGCCTGAACCAAAAATAACTAAAAACTTCAAGTAATGTAAAAGGAATTGGACAAGCAAAAGCCTTTTTTTTTTTTTTTTTTTTTTTGGATCATTCACTAGAATTGCATACATCCATATTAAACAATGTGTCCAGTGAATTTCTTCCCTTTGTATCTACTGGCAATTTCACAGAATGATAGAATGGTTGAGGTTGGAAGGAACCTGTAGAGATCCTTTATTCCACACAGGGGCAAGGGCAGCATCCAGGCAGATTTGGAAGATCTCCAGAGCAGGATACTCTACAACCTCTCTGGGCAGTCTGTTCCAGGACTCGGTCACCCTCACAGTAAAGAAATTCTTTCTCATAGGAAGATGGAACTTCCTGTGTTTTATTATCAAAGTTCAATTTAATTTCAAAAAGAAACATATATTCTGCTCTAAAATCTGCAAAAAAAAGACCCGAGATTTCTTAGCTTTCATTTGTAACTAATTGTGTACTTAACTAATAATCAAATTAGCATGATTAGAACAAGAAAAAAAGTTCCTCTTTGTCGGGCAAGTACAGTAAGACACAAAGTGAAGTTATAAAATGTAAACAGTGAGAAATATTTGAGTAATCTGCACAGGAATTAATTATTTTACCAACTATTGCTTTTCTTATCTTACTCTTTACTTTTACTTTAGCCAAAAAATGAAAGTGTAAAAAAACTCATTGGTCCAGATAAAAAAAAAAAAAAAAAAAAGTGTATGCAATACTTCTATGCACATATTTTGAGTCTATTTTTYCCAATAAATAACAGTTTGCTCAATGAAGTTGACAAAACATTAGGTAAGAATATGATTTGAAGCATCTAAAGTTTCCTGTGTTATTAACAACAATTATTTGCATACAGGAGCACACAGACATTTCAAACTCTTGATTTTGTTCTTGCACAATTAGAACAGAAATGWAGTCACTTTTTAAAGGCTGTACAGTCTTAAGGACAGCTAATGAAAAATCATTAGTGTCCAAAAAATAACAGATCTTTCATATTGTTTTATTGTTCTAACTACATTTTAATTTATTCAACTTTTAATAAATGTTAATACCCAATACAATACCCAAACCATAGCAAGTGAATTTCTGTCTTCAAAAATTTTACATCATTTCTTTGCTATTAATTCTGCTAAAATGAGAACAGATGAAACATAAAAATAAGCTCAGAGAATAACAAATCTGCTATATGAACCCTGGAAAAGACTCGATAGCACATGTTAGGAGAGTGGAATTAGAATCTGTTGCCCTTCAGAGACTGTGTGCAAATGTGTTGTTTCCTCATTAACCAAATAAGSTATTTGCTCAGGACAGGAAGCACACCCAGGATTGCCAGGTTAATGATGCTCATCTGGACTTCCAGACTGTACATAATGAGACACTGGGGTGTCTCATTAAAGAAATCAGGCTCTCTTGAATTCTTTGTGAAAGGCTTGATTAGGAAATGCCAGTGACTACTAAACCAGGACGCATATCAGTTCATTATACGGGTAATATGGAAATTTTTATCAAACACAGACAGTACCTGGTCTGCCAACTTGAAACAAAACACTTTGTATATGTATTTTTAATACAATTGAAACTATCTTGTTTGAACCTCTTCTAAATTCTAAAATATTCCCATACTCTTTTGCAGTCGAAGGTCTCCAGCAGGTTCAAACCTTTGTGTGATTGTGCTAACACACCCAGTAACCATGGCTCCTATTGGCACTCTGCCCCTTACAGSATGAAGCGTACCTCGTACTACAACAGTTCACCAAGAATTTTCACCTTCCATCATTTATTCCCTACTTTTTTTCTTTTACTATCATCTCTGACTCACATTCAACTGAATATGTGCTTTGATGAACTGAATATTGTGCTTTGATGCTAAAAACCAATCTTTCTGTGGACCAATCATTCACAATATAGTTTTTGAAATAGTATGTTATTAAATAAGTATGAGTAACATCACAGTGAATATCTGAAGAAAACAAAACAAAACAAAAACAATACCTGTGAGGTCACAGAACTGATCTTATAGCAAAACTGTTATTTTTAGTTGTTTGAAAAATAAAAGACAACTGAAATACCAGTATGGCCAAAGTAAAAGAAAAACACAAAGAAACACTGGCATCTGAACAGAATAAAAATTAAAATGATGACCTCAGAAAAACAACAAACCAACCAACCAAAAAAACTCCACCTATGCTAGAAATACCTGAATTAAATAGAGTTAGAAAGCACTGAATTCTAAATTCTTAATCTACTTCTATTATTATTGGACTAACATTTTAAGTGACAAACAGTAACTTTATATTTATATTCCTCATACTCAAAAATAAACCCTGCATTTTTGCTTAATGAAAACTCAGCATTAAATTTGAAAATGTCTGAAGTAATACAATGTATAAAAATCATTTAATGAAAAAAAGGGGGAAAAAAATCTCCCTTAAGATTTATTAGGAGTTTCTCTTTTTAAAGACCTAATGAAATCTATTCAAAGGATCTATGTTATTGCTTTTCCAAACATTCCAAGCTTAAAAATCATACCTTTCACATCTTCATCTTCAATGGTTGTATTGGAGCTCTCCGTTGATTCCTGTTGAAAAGTAAATATAAGTAGAATATATAAAATATGCCAAGTCTACTTGAGTTCCTATGAAAAATAGTTAGTTATAGAGATCATGCAAAGCCTTAAGCCGAGTGGGATGTAATTCACAAACAAATGGTCACACATAGATTGAGACATTCCCACCTGAAACCAATGACTAATATTCCCATCCAGTTCAAAGGGGAATGTAAATATATTTCCTGTTGTCTAATGCTTTGACTTCACAGGAATATAAAGGAATTTTTTCTTTACCATCCAAGTGTACAAAGTTCATCTGAAATGTTATATGAATTACGTCAGGCAGGGAGAAGAGCTTGCCATTTTAAGCTCAGTGATTAACCAACTGTGTAAAATAAGTCATTCCCTTCCAGTTTGTAAATATGCAGACTTCTGAACACTACAGGTGGTTTTTTGTTTTTTTGTTTTTTTTCCACTTAAGCCTTAATACGATATATATTAAAACAAGCAGAAAGGCTCCCAGCAATCTTAAGAAAATTGGATACACATTTTTATGTCATTTTTACACTGTTTTGTGATAAAAAAAAATTGAAGGAGACAGAGAATTGATAGATTTATGAGGACAACTTCGATAAATTAATGCATCTTCATAGAAGTGATGTTCAAGCACCCTGCCCCCCAGAGGAATGACTTGTCTATAAGACAGTTATATTTAAACCACTGCACTGTTAAAAAGGCAAGGGCACTGCCTTTCAGTCTTTCATGAATTACTGGAAACATGAAACATTAGGGATAAATTCAAAAGAACACTGTCAAACCTAAGAGGCACACATTTTCTGAGAAGTCTGACAGTTTTTAAGCTCATTTTTCCATCTGTTCCTTTTTGTTTGTTTTTTTGTAAAGTAACATGTTTTAAAGTCACAGCCCAATAGCAAAAAGCATTATGTGGGTTACTTTTTGTCTGAGARATGGAAGATAGGGTGGTATTGGTTTCAGTTCCTAGAAAGTTCACAATCAAATAATAAAAAGCCAAATTTGACAGTGCTCCTTACTGTGTCAAGCGAACGTCAAAACTGTTAACGCATTGCTCAGACCTTAAAAACCAAAAGGTATGTGCATCCATGAATAAAACTACACAAATCAATCCACACACACCAATGAAACAAGTCATCATGCTTCTCCTATACTGGGTGGTGTTAGGGGTTTCACGCTACCCGGACGCATCATGCGCTATCAGTTACACATGTTACTTATAAGTAAATGGAAACTCCACACGCGTACGAGCGGTGAACACCATGCACAAGTTCTCACAGCAGATGTTGTCTGTAATACTGAAGCATCCACCCCAGTTGCCATAGTTTAACACTCATTTTTAAGACCAGAAATTTAGGAGCAACTCTCCACGCTGCGTAGTTTACTTATCTACTATGACCTTTTGGGACATTAAATATCTGCATTGCTTATGATTACATAATAAAGTCAAGTAGATGTAGTCATGCCAATATTTTATTTGGGGTTTTGACGGGGGGTCTTTAGTAGCTTTAGTGACTAAGATTAGACTAGAATTTAAACACACACTGTTGGCTGTGCATAAAAAATTTGGGAGTTGAAAAAGTAGCGAGATGAAAACAAAAGTGGTGTTCTACAAGTGTGAGATRCATACACAAATGGAATGTGCAAGCAAGATACACACGGTCACTTCTTCCATGCTTGGGAAATGTCTGCATGCATTTTTTTTCCCCACTCAGATTCAATCTTTTATATATACAACAATCATAGGGAATTAGACTAGCTAAATGAAACAGCAACTTTCTCAAAGTCAATACTGCAAACTGTGATTTTTTTTTTTTTTCAGAAGAGAAATTCTTTGCAGGAAACCTAAGAACATGTGTTATAATGGAAATGATGGTATTTCCTGGCCCTTTTCAAGTCCATGCATGAAAAAAAATAAAACAAACACATGTTTTAGGAATCAGCTGCCAAACACAAGCACCACAACACACAGGAAATAAAAAAAAAAAAATGTATAAAAACCAAAAGAATTCCTTATCACTTGAAATATTTTTTGTTGTTGTTTTTTTTGGAAAATGCTCAATGATGTTATGGGAGAAAACACAAGTCTTGTGCAAAGGACAGGTCACAGCATGGTGTACGAGCATGCTGAGACACAGCAGATGGGATGAGCTGAAAGTACGTCTTCATCTGAGGTGACAACTCCACATAAAAGCCTTCGACAGAACCTCACCGTGCTCTGCGAAGAGCCCTCCTCTGCCTTAGCTAAATTGTAGGTATGTTTGGCTGAAACCAGAGAGAGCCCCCACCGCCGTGCGTGGCTGCGCAGGGTACCGCACCCCGGCAATTGCTACCCATCCCGCAAGGGCTCCCGGAGCTCCGGGAGCGCAGCAGCAACGCCGCGCAGGTGACACAGGCTCAGGTGACACCGGCGGGGACAAGTACAGGAATGAGATTATCCTTCACCAGCTCCTGGCGTGGCCCTGCTCTGCTCTACAATTGKGGATGAAATGTGTGGTTTGGAAAAGCAGGATGGAATCAGTTCTTTCTGAATACCTTATTTCCATCAGGGTTGTGGATTACTGTAGTTTGGGGCTCCTGAGCGAGAACAAAATAGAAAAACAATTCGCATTGGTAAATGCACTTCTGTTACCGTGAGGGCGTGCAAGCAGAGCCAGCTCACAAACGCTAAAACAAACGTCAACTGTTGCCAGCAGATGAAACTGGGTATTTCTGATAAAAGATTTCCTCAACCAGCAAGCCAGCAAAAAAAAGATGACCTTTCTCAATTCAACAGCATGCAAAGACCTTATTCATGATCAACATAGACAGGGCTTTGAAGCTCTGGAGACCTGAAGAGGCTCTAGTATTTTATGAGGTCTCATGCTAAATGTTTTGGTCATTTTCCTGTCTGAGCTACTAAGGTGATGACCAACCACCTTTTCCCTTTAATCATGCTTATTAGCATTAGCATTAAGATAAAAGTGAACAAATGAAAATACAGATGGATTAATAAAGACTCAAGAAGAAATATGTACAGTATTACCAATTTCTGCCCTAGAAGCGCAGCACAGAATAAGTGGGAGGTCTTTGTGTCATTTTATAACGTAGTTTTCCCAAATCTCTTTTCCTTAAAAAAAAAAGGAGAGAAAAAACAAACAAACAAAATCTCTCTCAACTAATCCTTTGAAATTACTTAGGAATGTATTCCTCATTGGGAATTGCTCATAAAGAACAAAGAATCTCTCCTCAGGCACGCTTCTATATGTGTTTTCAGAGTGTCTGTCATATGGAAAACTTCATGAAATCAGATGTTTCTGTGCTAACATTTATGTTTTTTAACCTCTGTGACTCATGTATGACTAACAAATTTGACTTTCTAGCAGAAGCAAGATTRTGACACAAATATTAATGAACAGTCCTCTGATTAGTAATATGTTTCTTGCAGTTTCTTAATGCGGGGTAATRTCTCCTATAGATCTAAGTATAAAAGAAAACACCAAAAAATTTTATGATTAGATGCCTCTTGATCCCAGTACATGAAGACTTGCAAAGTCCTGTTGTGTTTTATAAAGAATTGAATGAAAATCTGAATAAGGTCTATTTTATTGTTGTCTGGCAATAATCCTGTTAGCTTCCCTCCCGCCCCTCTACCCACTCCCCCCCAAAAAAAAGTTAGCATTAAAAAGATTCAAACAACCACCACGCAAACAGCTAAGAGCAACATAAAGCACATTCTACTCACTTTCTGGAAGAGCATGCAAAAAATTCAACYACAGATACAACTACTATGATTCTACTGCATCCAGCGTCCATGTAAAACTTTCTATTAATCAACACACCGCTTAACAATGGACTTCCTCCAAAACAAGAAAAGCATAATTCAAACCAAAATGTGTTTTCCCCAAACCTGTTTTTAGAAAGCAAACCAAGTAAACACATGAAAAAGAAAAAAAAAATACAGGAGAAAGAACAAACAGAAAACAGTCAAAAACTTCAAGATAACATGAGAAGGAAGATTCTAGGTATACCAGCGCCGGGGTAGGAATATTTTCCTTGGGGCTGGTTACCACGTTGGTTTTGTTGTTTATCTGTAGGTATGCAGAAAATAGAAACAGACAAGCCTTAGAACTCGCAGTAGGCACCGTATCTATATCTCTCTGTATAGAACATCTATATACAGATATAGATATCTATATATAGATATAGATATGGAAATAAAGAATCACAGAAAGATGAACTTATGAACTTGAAAGGAACACTAACAATAGTTTTGACAGCTAGTTGTAACTTCTCCAAACATGCTAGCTACAGGCTTTCAGAGGCAGCCTAGGAAGTTCTAGAGATAGATTACTTCAGCTGTGACACTTAAAAGAATGGAAAGCCTTTAGAAAACAGCTATATGTATGTATATATAAATATATATATATATATATATGAGAAGAACATAAAATTAACATGTTTAAACAGGGACCTAAGTTGCCACTGTGATTTCTAATCGGTATTGAATAACTGCACTCAGTTACACTTTTTGTTTTCTAATTACCAATGACTAACATCAATATCATTTGATTCGTCACAGCTCTTTAGAGATCAATAGTTCTACTGACTTCTTGGAATGTAATTCCATAAATATGATGGATGTTGGAAATAGATTGGTGTCCCTTTAGCTTTTTGGTGTAACTTCGGACAAAAATAACCGCCAGCTGTGATTTTTCCAATCTCAAGTATGTTGCCATAACTGTGTATCAGCCTTTCAATTTTGGTACCATACCATGAAAGTATCATGTTCCACACTGCAGTTTCTGCAGTCTTAATTCACAAAGCACTGCATATCTGCTTAACTTAACACGTGGATGGTCATGAGAGTTCCTAAGCTTAGCACAGTACTATATCTGCACAAGACTGGCTTTTTATTTGTACAAGCATTTATCTCAAAGAAAAGTAAACAATAAGTTTAAAGGTATCTAATACTTTAAATTCACTTTTAAAATTTGTTTTCATAAATACCACAGTAAAAGGAGCTTACCAAGCTACTTTTTACATACAGTAGTAAGCARTAAAAAGCATAGGCAAGAACAGTTTAAAATGTCATTTCAAGTCTTTGAGAATTATTAGAAAAGTTTAAAAATGAGAAAATAAGAATTATTTTTCACAAACATTTTGGTCATGTTTGATTTTAACAGGAGTGGTCCAAAAGAACATACAAAGATGCATACAGGTATACAGTTTGGAAAAAAAAATAAAAAAAAGATATTGAACCTTCTCTTCCCAGTACTTAACAGTAAATGTGCAAGGCAAAAGAACAAAAATATGTAAATCTCTCATTAATTAATTTTTGGTAAGAAATTCATATGTCATTTAAAGAAATTCCAACAATCCTCTGATCCAGCTTGTGAGTTAGTTTTAGTTCCTAAAGAAAGGCCTTTCTAAAACCAATTAGAAAATTATGATGTCCTCACTAATACTTATGAAAAGGCATAAAGACAGGGAAAGCCTTGGAAGAGTGGACCAAACTGAGCTTTTCTGTTTAAGAAACATCTCACTTCTACCCCAGGTTTCTCAATGATTCTATAATCTTATAACAGCATTCAACTTCTCAGAGACGCAGGCTAACATTTAAGTTTTGTTAGTGCTAAGACTTTACTCAATTTGAACGTTGAGAAGTTCACACCACTGGAGAAGTTCGCTGAACTTAATATCCCCAGCAATTTTCCAATATTATTTTACTTTGGTACAGGTATGGGAGCTGACAGCTGGAATGAAGCATGCAGCTAAATCCAAGTCTTACTTCGGACAGGCCTAGATTATGGAAATACAGATAGGGTTTGCATTAATTAATTCCAGAGTGAAAAAAACCTTATCTTAATGAGCTAGCTTTCTTTCAGGAATCTATTGCAGACAAATTAGTTAATGGAAGAAGCGTATTATTTCCATACTAAATCTTATTTAGCAATATTGATGATAGGACCCATTTTCTCAAATAGGATAAAAATATCTTCTTTGATTTAGAATCAGAGTTAACAGTGCTATATCTATAGCAGGAGATTTTTTTTTTTTTTTTTTTTTTTTTTTTTTTTGTAACACTGTGCATTTCCAAAACTGTTTTTCTACAGAATTTGTCACTGAGGGAAAGTATGAGTGATTACTGAATTCCAAGTACTTATTTTATGCTCTAGCTTAGACTTGTTATTGCCAAATAATTTTAATTTATTTACAACCATGTCCGCCAAGTGAAACTTCAGTCACAAGTTGCAGGGCTCTCTGCACTCGACAGAGGAGGAAAACGAATTCCTTGGTGCATACTGGCGTTCACAGGGAGCTCTGTCAGACAGAAGTATTAGCAAGTATTTATATAAAAACTAACTCGCTTAGATGCTTATGGGACTGACTAAAGCCTAAAGTCCTTACTCAGGAAAAACCTTAAAAAACAAACAAACAAAAAAACTATTGCTGCAATAAATGGAAATCCTATAGGAGAATTATGGTATGAGAAGCACACATACAACACTGCTTGATGGCATAATGTATCTTCAAACACAAGAGAAAAATCATGTACCAACTTAGGTAATTTAAAGCTCATATTTTAGTGACAGCTTAGTCATCAAGACATTACGAACAAAAAGTAACTAATAAAAAGACACAAGTGTACAGAAAGCAAAAACATGAGGAAGTAAATGAAGATTTCACCAGATTTCATACAGTCCCATTCAGTAGTAGCTTAATATCAAAAATAAAGTGATATGCCAAAAAAAAATGCTTGTTGCTGAATACATAATGAAAACCGGTTAATTAAATTTTAACTCCAATTTTGCCTGAGTAAGGAGAGCAGGCTTGGGTCCATACTCCCTTGGTGAAAGTCCTATAAAAATAAACAATATCCATTACAGCTACTGCTGAAAACTGCACGAAATACATTCAAAAATTATTAGTACTATTAGTAACATATCAAGAATTGAGCATTTGTTACTAAAACAGAAAGAGATAATGTAAATCAAAACAAAGTTATTTCTTCTATATAAGTAGAACTTGGCAAAACCCTTTGAGGCTTACAGGGAAAAGAGCAATAAGCCTGTACATTTTCTCTCTTCCTCCTATAACACATACATTAGATTTTTTGTTAAGATATATGAACACATACTTATCCATTTTACATGTATTTTAACAGAAAAGGGAAACTATTCTAAAAGGAATATTTTCATATGAGACAACTGATCTAAATTTAAATTACACTAAAGTGGTGATCTGTTTGTTGTAAAGGAGAAAACATTTTGTACTTTAGCATTGCTTGTCCGGAGCCACTCTTCGGTTTGATAGCAGTACAGGACAGACACACACAAGCACACCAAGCAGCTGGGCATGACTGTAGAGTCATTTATGCTCACRTTTTTCAGTATCTTATAAAGTATTTTAAGAAAGAAAACCTGTATCTCAGGGCTTAACCTTCCACAAAACACCTTTGTAAGCAAACAACTAAAGCATACTTCATGTTTGGGATACTAGAAATATCCCCACTGTACCTGTCCTCTGRCCTTCCTTTGGACACTATTAATGTTGAAATTCTGATACCCAGAGGAGAGCAGAGTGTTTCCCTAGATAATGACAAGCCTATTCCCATCTGGCTAGCACTGGTCACTTTTTAAGGGGAATTGTGCTTTCCAGAGAAAGGTAAGACACGTGCCTTCCCTCTACCTTCAGCAGCACCAGAAGCTGGCTGGGACATCACTGCAGATCCTCAGGAACGCTTCCAAATTCCAGTTCAAAGGCATAATAAGCAGCAAGATAGCAAGCTGCACCGAGGCCAACTGAATGCATAACTACGGAGCAGGTCAAGGAGGAAGAGAAGTTAGACAGACTGACAGCCAGTTGGGACGTCTGGTGCCAGCCCCTGTGCTGCGATGGACGTTAGCTAGGAAAGCAGAGTACGGGAAGGCTGTGCACTTGTTTTGCTGGTTCCTGAGCATTTTGGGCATTGCATCCTGACCTGTAATTGCTCAATTAAAGTTATGTGACTTCATTGTGCAAAGCAATCTAGTTTGGGTTACACTTTATTATATTAATATTATTAGCTTTTATTATACAAAGAGTTTTATAAACTAATGGAAGGTTGTTATATGATCACTGTATTGTTACTATTTTTATCCACTAAGAACAGCTGCATTGGACAATGTTACATCTACTTTCTTTTTGCATTTACATGTCCCCAGTTAAAAGAAACAGAAAAACTTGCTCAAAAGAATTGCAGAACAATTCATTGTGGATGGCATACAGCAACTGCAGGCTTAAATTCACACGGTTGTACTTTAAAATTTTGCAGCTTCTAACAGTATGTTAACAAAACTAAACGCAACTCTTTGATTTCTACGTGTGAACGTTTCACAGGAGGAAAAATCTGTCAGATAAAGATCCTCACCATCATCTGAACACTCGAACTGGACTTCCTTTTCTGAATTGACCAGTCAGAGAGAAAGGAAAAGAAGAAAATGTGACTGGTTGGATTTAAAGTAGCAATGCATGGAGAACAGTATATTTCTGGTTTTTGCTGTATTTTTTAAGACCGCCTAACCTATAGAAAGGGGTAAAAAACACTATGGAGAATATATTTTCTCAATAAAAGAAAAGAGGAAAATAGACCTCCCCAGATGTATATTCACACTCTTTGCTCCACATAACTACATAGGAAAACATCAGATATATAAAATGTGTGTAAACWAAAGTATCAAAACTCAACAAGTGTAATTTAGGCAAAATTTTGGCAACAATTGTTTGCAATATCATAATCAAAATTAAGATACAACGAATAATACTGTAGACCTGTAGGAGGTATAATATTTAAAAAGGAAAAGCTATTCAGCTGAGTACATACAATTTAAGTACTCCACAATGAAGGATGTAAAGGGTTTTCCACAAAAATAACAGATACAGATCCGTAACAGCTYCTCCATACAAATTAGATATCTACTACTTTTCAGTGAGAGCACTTGAATTATAGAGTGCTCGCCTCTTTCAGTCAGTTTCAAGAGTATTTTGCTTGGGAAAGTGAGCGTATTTGGGACAGGGACAATATACTACGAGCCTGGTATTTAAGTACACAATGTTTAGTWAAGAGTTAAAAAATTTAGATCAAATTAAAATTGGGGTCAAAGACACACTCCTGAGAAAAGACACAGTGCACAGAAGAAATTCTTTCAAATTATATGATGAAAGCTTGAGGCATTGGTTTTTAGTCTTCAGGAGTCCTCCAAGAAAAGAAATAAAACATTTTTCACTGCTGAGTGATTTTTTTTTTCTAGCTGTTTTTCAAAGTATTTATCCAGAATGGTCATTGTGAAGCATCTCTCCTCCTGCAGGATCTGGTGACATGAGAATAGGAACTCTAAATTATGTATGAAAGCTGCCAAAATGTTCCCTTCTTAGTAAGGCTTATTAGTCAGGACAAACTTATTTGTTGACATASTAAATCCCTTGAGTTCTGCCAAACGTACCAAGGACATCTGGCAGAATACACTTCATGTGGAGCCAAACCTACCAATAAGCTTTTCATCTTCCACGAATCTAATGAAAAATCAAGGGTAAACATCCAGGCAAAAGGAGTTGCAGATAAGCACTGGTAACATCAAAACCCAACATGCCCACCACCAAACCATCATTTCTATTTACAAGCCAATTAATAACATTGGTTCATTAATTATACAAATCACCTTTCACTGAAATAGCACTAAAGCATTCCTTCTCCAGCACTTTTCTAATTTTCCACTTATTAAAATGCTTGTTTTTCAATTATTTCTCTTAGTTAAGTTTCACTTACAACTTCCAATACTCACTAAGCAGCACTTAAATTCTATAAAGAAAAGGAATAAGCAGATTCAGTTCTAAAAATATCAGCAGAAGTTACAGGTAGCGAATAAGAAAATGTTTTTAAAGCATATATTTAACCTACCTTGACTCCATCTGGCTTTTTCAGCAAACTCTTAGCTGCTGTAAAATGAGAGAAATAATTTCAGTACCAGCCAGTTACTCCTGAGGTCAATCAGCTGAGCAGCAAGCCCCCCACTGCCCCCAGATGCACATATTTTCAGCTTCTATTTTCCTCTCTTTATTGCTTCAAGTAAAGGAAACAAGATATTCACAATACTTAAAAAACTACAAATACTGAAGAGTGTAATATTGGCCTTCTAATTATTAAAGCTGACAGTAATTATACAATGAGAAACTTAGCTGTTAGGAACTACTGGATGCCATAAATGAAACACACAGAAGTAGGACAGGTGTAGGAGAGCAGCATGGGATACATTCATTTTCTAGACTGAAATATGTTTACAACTCGCTTATTATGTCATTATATAACAATATGCTTACAACTATGTTTATAACATAGTCGTTTACAACGACTATGAAGCAGGACTGTTTTCATAGTAGGGACTTTGTTATGGTATTTGTAGAGCTTACTCTTATCTTAATGCTGTTATTAGTATGGGAGTGGCATAAAAGTAAGCAACCTCTAATCGATGGGGAAAGGTACCTTCAAACTATAATGAGGTACATGACTGACCCATTAACCAAAAAGCAAACTTCACTATAAAAGAGCATTTTTGTGCAAGGGTTCCTTGGGGATTTCCCATGACAAAGGTATCAGTCACCTCACGGAAAGGGACAAAGAGGTTGCAAATCCAAGGGGAAAAACAATCCACCACGGAAGTTTTGTTTTTGGGAGTGCTTCTTGCGGAGGTTAATATTTAAGAATGGTACTTCACTTTCTATTGAACAGAAACTGTGACTTTCTGAATCATATTGCACCTGATTAGCCAATTTGCTTTAAAATAAGTGTTTCACTTGTCTGTAATTTCAGTCTGCTCTAATGGGAAAGATTTTTTACAATTTTGATTCACAGAGATATTATGCTTTAAATCCTGCCACATAAACTGGGTCATACTAGTCCACATTACTAAATTTGGAGGGCTAASGTGCAAGCAAGGAAACCAGACCCCTGAACTTGTGAATATTTGCAGCAGAAATACATGCTGGCAGACCTACCAAATTCAAATAAACTATTCACAAGTGTGAATGCTTGCTGAGCCGTTGCCAAAAAAACATAAGAATAATGAGCTATTAAAATACGCCTAGCATTTTTATTTGTTGTTTATGAACCTTTCATATTAGAAAAWATATTTTACTTTAAGTTGTAAGAAAGGTCCAGTTCTATATACAGCTTTGCTTAGAATTAGGAAGCCTTTTGAGAGTGAAATGTTTCAGGCTATAAAATCTGGTGCAACCAAGGGGAGAGAGATGTGACATGGAGCTTGTCTCTCACAGGTATTCCTGCCCTGCCAGCCTGATGTTGTTCAAACTATTTCTGAATTGTGGAAGGGGAAATAAGAAGTGGAAAAGAGGACATCACAGCCTCCCTCTTCTTGAACCAGCAATCCGTTGCAGTGCCTGGTGTTTAGGGCTGCTTTCAATGACAGGTTACCAGCATTTGTTTCTGTTTACCATCGCTAGGGGAAAATAAGAAAAGCTTCAGAGGAGCCTCTGTGCCAAGCTGGGCCTTTTGGATCTGCTCCATGCTCTAGTGGCCGTGCCTGCGTGCACACACGTGCCCTGGGCAGGCGGCTGAGCGTGGCGCTGCCTGCCACTAGGAAGGGCAGGGCAGGAAGGTGCTGTGTGTCGTACAGATGGGAGCATTCCTGATCTTCTGCACCCTGCGCATGGCCAGATGCAGCAGGGAACATGGGGCCTTTTCTTTTTTTTTTTTTTAAGCATTATTGTACAACAAAGAAACGTTCAGGAACTTCATAAGCTTCTGAAATTAATTTATGGAAAGAATTGGAGGGGGAACTATACAAAACCTATGGGCAAAAAAAACACTCCACCATTCCTTTCAAAGCATGTTTAATACTGTTAGAGCTCACAAAAATATGGGAAAAAGTAAACTAATTCTTATAAGCTGCTATTCATAACAAATCAGGTCCTTTCCCTGGACATTTCTAGGTAATTTCTGTGTTTTTTTTCAAAGCTTAAGAAACATTGAAAGATAAAAAAGTCAAGTGAGGCTACCAAAAGCAGTAACTACAAGAACAGTATTTATGGCATTGTCAGCATACCCTTTGAAATGTTTCTACTACAGATTATTATGCAGGATGCTATGTTAGAGGACATACTTCTTACTCCACTGCTTTTGCCATTGCTGTTTTTGTCTTGGAATGCATTTTTAGGAATATGTTAATACATCTTTCTCTAAGCACAGATCCTGCATACAAATCAAATATTTAAAGAATTTGCAGTAGCCAAGCTATTAGCATATTCTAAAATAAGCCCACAATGGAAGATTTTTGCAACTACATGCAATAGCTATAAATAAAACCTACGCAGTGCTAATAAGCCAGAAAGAACGCTGAAAAGAAATGACATTTATGACAACACGATGAAATTAGTGTGATTTAGGGCAAATAGCAATTTTGATTCAGAAGAGAAGATGTTCCTTTCACGTGCTGAGGGTCTTACCTCACAAGAAATATACATTCCACATAAAAGAAAGAAAGAAAAAGGAAAATAAAACACTTTTACAATGACATTATTATGGACAAATGACCTTCAAAAGCATGCGCTGCAATGAATATAATGAAAAAAAAACTTGAAAAGTAAAATGTCATTGTTAAAACAGAGATGATAAATGGAAAACAAAATGCAAAATAAAAGCCCCAAAAAACTGTTTGCTTTTCATGCTGAAATAATGTTTGAAAATGACTTTGACTATTGCCTATTTTTCCTTCATGAAAGTTGAAAGTGAATCTTACTGACTGCAGCAGTTAAAAATAGGGACGAGACATGACGTATCTGTTTGATATTTTAAAATAATTCCTTTTTACAAGATATGCAACGTATAGTGGTACCACTATTAAAAAGAAAGAAAAGGCACTAACAATTCATTAAGTATCAACCTGGTGCAATTTACTTGTAGTTTTCTATAGGTAGTTTTCCATGTAATAGGTGTATATTAATGTAGGAATATGACACAGAAAGTTTATTTTAAATACTATGCAAATAGAACAAGCTGTTCTTCCATTCATAATTCTCTAACTTCTTTTGAATAATTCGGTGCTTATTATTATTCAAAATGTACCCACAAAGCACTATTATGTTTTAATCTGTAAATTATTTTCAGTTACACTCCAACAGTTACATCACAAAGAGCACATTACAGCTTCTAAATTTGGTAGCTCTTTTCACTATTCACTTAAAATCTTAAAAAGCAAATGAAAAATTCAACATAGCGTCATAATTTTGGCCATACTGCYATACAAGACAATTCTAACTATAGTAACAGCAAAGTTATTTTGGCCTTCACCATCCACTATCAAAATGTATTTGGTATAAACATCCAAAATTCCCTGTACACTCATTATAAAATTATTTCATAAGCATGAAACATCTTGCCATTTCAAACTGGAAGAGAGGGA